TCTCCGTACAACATGCTAAAACCAAGCACATAGAAATTTACTGTCACTTCACAAGGGACCAGGTTTTGGCTAACAAATCCACTCTCCAACATGCAGATATGCTCACCAAAACTAAACTCTTCCTGTACATACTTTCAAAGAGTTTATTTCCAAACCAAACCTCCACTCTCAACATGTTTAGTTTGAGGGAGGCTATTAGAATGACGAAGGATGAAAATATCAGATTAGTTAGTCGTTATAGATTTGTTAGATTATCACCATTAGATAGTTCCCGCTCACTCTCTCTTCTCCTCCCCTCCCCGCCCCAAACTATGTATATAAATCATCATTCATCAGCATGATTTCTTTACTACGATTGCAATTCTCGTATGATGAAAAAAGCATAATCAGAACTAGACACGTCCAACAAAACAAAGCAACAACATACGCCAGCTTGGCCGCACATCATGGAGATCAACATCCACGTTGTACATAAAAATTAGTACTAGAAACCTGAGATCAAAGAAACGAGTGGATTAATCTTTTCTAGATTGTTGTGTTATCCACCTCGAACACATAACCCAAAACACACAAATATTGTCTCTCTCTGATCGGTTCCCAATTATGCCGCCAGTAAATGGACAGATCGAGATGGATAACTAAGTTAAATATAGCCTCCCATCTAAGATTTGCCCAAGTATTATTGAATCCCCAAAATAAAAAAAGACCAGTTAACCCCTTATAAATAATATATAGTACCGTTGACAAAAAAAAAAAAAAAACAATTTAATGCAAAGATGGGTTCGTAATTCTCTTCTACATGTCACTGCTGGCCACATGTTATGTTCTGCTCTGCTGGTTCTCTTCATTTTTTCCCCCTTAAAATAATTATTATGTGAACTTTCACCAATTTAATAGCGCAAAAATAGAAGCAAGAAAAAGAGAAAACAAGATGTTTCATTAGAATAGGGGGATTATTGGAGGAATTAGACCCGCTAATGCACGTGGCCACTTAAACTTGGTACTCTCTCCATCTCCGCAATAGACACCACCACCATGGCATTTTACAAATATGCACAAAATTGAGAACCTGGCTGGCTGGCATTTCCAGCTAGGTTGTGTTCAGGGTGGTTTAGTTTGCCATCTCAACTTTCAAACACATGATCTTCCCATCTAAACAATATCTTAGAATTTTATGACGAAATTTTGTATGTTCAGGTAAGAATCGCTGTTATTTCCGAAACGAATAATTTGATTCGCGTTGTTATATATATTTTTAGAATGTGATGTTTCACTCTTATTCTTTTTTCCTGTTTATACTTATTCATAATGTGTATAATGATATTCACACAACATACTTAGAAATTAGTACATCATGTTCATTAAGTTATGAGTCGGAATTTCTATATTTACGGACCTATAAATCATGATGATTAGGTTTATGAACAACAACGATTAAAAAGTTAATTTATTTGTCCTAAACACGTTACAAATAAAAAAAAACACTCTTAGGAATCAATGCTAAGAACATAACAAAGCAGATTTTTTTTATTTATGGTTAGATAGATAGAAGATTACTAATGAGATTGAGACCATAATGCATACAAAACTACTAATTAAAAGCAGCTTGTTTACAAATTAATAAACCCTAAGCACATTACTCACAAACCACAAAGACACAGCTAACAAAACAAGAATTACATTGTTTACAATTCAGATATCTCGTATTGTAAATGGATAGTTACGTTGCTAGTTTTGCATTTTAACATGTTTAATTATTTTTTATTATAAAAAACGGCCATAGATTTGACACTCTACCTTTGCATTTAACCCTGGATTGTACCACATGGTTGTTGAGTATCTATTGTGATTTTTATTTTCTTGGTGAAAATTTATGGTGTGTTATAGTTTAATCTATTGGTGATTGACAAACAACAACAACCGAATATGCTGTGAATCGATCACACTAGTGAGAAAAAGGCTTTAATAAATTGAAAGGGATGTGAAACCTCATCGTTTCTTTTATTTGATTAATGAAAATAATAATAGATTACAGATCCCCAAGCAATCTACAGTTTTTAAGGGGGAATCGAAAATAAATATGAAAGGCTGCTGAACTAATAACAATGCATGCCTCGAATTTCTTGTTGTGAAGTATATAGGTTGGCAACTCAATGTAAAAACAATAAGAAATTCTAATTGGGATTCAGATCCCGGACAACGATCTGCAACTTGCAAATAAATTTTATATGTATAGAATAGTTGACAGTAATGCGTTCCATTTTGTAAACGTCCAAATGTTTCTATCTATATGAAATATGTGCCCATTGGTAAATGCTTGATTTCGGGTGAATAGATCATAAGGATCATTTTAAACCGGTTTATAAGTCTAGTTTTATTGTTATTGTGGTTACGTTGCAGTAGAGTTGTGACAGTAAAGATACAACCATAATAGTATGAAGATGAAAAATTGAAACCTGTATAGTTCGTCATTTTAAAAAATCATGTAAGTTGTCAACTAGAAACAAAAATGTATTTCGTTACTTTTTTAGATTGCATTTAGTATCAATGTTGAGACTAACACAAAAGTAGCAAAATAATGGGAGGAACATGACGATTTAGGAAAAAATTAAAGGGGGGCAATATATAAAAATCATATTGACAATAAAGTTTCGGGTAGTTATACAAAAATGACGAGTGGAAAATATAGAAAGTGGGGCGTTTAGTGAGATTTGGATATCAACTCTCTCTATTGAAATTATTTCAACAACTTATAGATCCACAAGAAACATCTTTTGGAAACAGTAGTAGAAAATTACTTGCTTTTAAGTTTTAATACATATTTTGATGTCAACTCCTGTTACCACAACAATAGATGAAAATATAATTAAGAATATTTCCGGTGTCTATTGGAAATGATACTAAACAGAACTTTCGGTCTCATGTAGTATGATTTTTATATGGTTGTATTTTTATCATTTTTGTGAAGCTAGAGACACCAACAATGGAAAAAATGAAAGCTAAAATTTGCTTAGTTCTCAACTTTAGAAAATCATAAAAGATTGAAAAGCAATAACATAAATTTGTTTAGTTACTTATTTTACGAACAATGTATCAATATTAGTATGATTGTACTCGAATTGTTCTTCAACATTATTAATAATCTTTTACGAACAATGTAGCAATATTAATAATCTTTTGAAATGTGTTAAACCTATTTTTTTTCTTTTTATACATAGGTTTAATAAGGTTACTAGGTTTTCTATTTATTAAGGCCTCATTTAGAACCTCTGATTCTAAACGTTGTATTCTCGAGATACATGTATTTTGCAGAATATAACATTTTTTTTACTTGTTTTAATCACATAATGCATGTATAGAGAATGCATGATGGATTCATAATACATATTATAAAATGATGTATATTTAATTTCACCTTTTTTGGTGAGACATAGAATTCATAGTTCATTCATTGTATAATCCATACATTCTTTTATGTTTTCCCAACGAAGTATTTTTAACACCCACACATTCTTAGTAATCACATTCTTGTAATACATCATTTCCAAAATCAAAGGTTACAAATGAATCTAAATGTAATTAAAATTCATGTTTTGTTTTTTGTTTTTTGGGTGGGGGAACTATTGACATTATGCCAAAAAAAAAAGGGGGAGATAGATCATAGAAGAGAAGGGTGAAGAAAGAAAAGAAAGAAGGGTGGGAGTGGGGAGGGGCAGAGGCCAGCGGGGCCGTGTTGGGTGAAAGATGCCACCACTCTCACTCTCTCACTGCCAGCCGGCACCACACTGCAATCTGCATCAGAGAGAGAGAGAGAGAGCATTACAACAGTATGCTAGCTCGCTTGTTAGCAGTAGTAGTGGGTCACATGAATACTTTCCTTCTTTCTTTCTCCTTCCATTCACAGGCTGCAGCCTCCTCTGCTCAATTGTATATAATATACGTCAACATATTAAACAAACAAACAAACAAACAAACAAACAAACGAGAGTCCTCTCTCCCTCCCTCCTCTACTGTTGCTGCATGTGTTGGTTGCGCTGTGAAAATCGATCTCCACTGTGCGGCTCCGAATCTAGAAAAACTAGAAATAAACAAAGTTACGATTGTTCCCCTCATAACAGATCGTTTTCATTAAGACTTTTCGATCCCCCTACATCCACGTCTACTTGTGTAGTACATTATACCCATAATCCGACATGACAAAACTGTCTAATCTTAACAGTTAGAGGGCAACCCAACTACTATGGTCCGATAATTGTGCGCCGAGTGAGTGAAACCGTAGATTAAGCTCCGTCTCAGAACCTTGTGGGGTACGTTAGAAAGATTGAACATTTTATGTACAGTAGTAGATTGAGTTCTAACATGGAGATGGATCGATCCATATCGGCCAGCTCAGCTCAGATTATGTATTGATGATTATGAAGGTGACATTTCTATGACCTATCAATTGTGAGAAACAGTAGTTGAGGGAGGAGAGGGGAATGGATTGGTACATGAATCGGGAAGCTTGAAAGCAGAGGCAAAGATTGGCAACTAGTGTCGCCTTCGCTGCAACTATATATCACCACCATTTTCCTTCCCCCCTAACCCTACCAGGCCCTTTTGTTTTCTTATTCAGTTTTTCTTTCTTTTCTGTTTGTCGTGTTTTGCAGTCTTGGAAATGCGTGCTTTGATGCCCTCCCTAACAAAGAAAAGAAAGAAAGGGAAAAAGGATTTCTAACTTTCTGGGTTCTAGTGGACAACTGGACTCGAGGGGGCTCAATTCATTCTTCTCGCTTTTTTTTTTTTTGGCTAAAGAAAATATCAACATCGGTGATAATGTGGGATGATAACATTTGACGTAGTAAGTCGATCAATATTCGGAGAACTAGAGTGTGTATGACAAGAGTAAAAAAGTGAAGGGTGGTAAAAGAAACGGTTTGAGGCAGGCATGATCCCTTCCCCAGAAACCACTCACCAGCTAGCTAGCAAACTTGTATTATAAAATGCAAACAAAAAAAATGTAGTTAATCAATAAAAGAAATATATGTATTTTTTGATTGTCAATGATCATATACTCAAACAAATTAAAAAAAAAGAAAAAATTAACCCAGAAGAAAGATTGATGATAAGAATGAACAAACTACAGAGAAATGAACAAAAAAGCTGAGGACATATGGTATGTGAAAACTGTAACTAAAAAAAAAGGACACAAACCCCTTTTTTTATTTCCCTCTCATTCAATGGAAAGAAGAAAAGAAATGAAAAGACACTGTCACTTAATACTTAAGAGCACCATCTTCATCATCACCTCCTTAACCTCCTACTTGTTTATATGCACCAATCTAATTAAGCACCAACAACACATGGAAGGGGAATCTTTCTTTTTATAATTAAACATAAAAAAAAAACACTTGGGGAAAAATATTAAATTACCAAACTTTTTTTTCCCCCTTCTGCATATGGTTGTGGGGAGGAGGAGGTGGTTGATGGTAAAACTTGTATGTAAGAAGTTGCCATGGCTGGTTGTATAATCAATTCCTCTGCATTCTTGGCACCACTTGTTACTAAGCACTCTTTGCTTATCACCATCAACCACCATGATCATGATTATTTGATTTCAATTGAACTGTTGGTGCTCAAGCCATGGCCAGAACCCAGACTGATCATCCATGCCACAGAACATGGTGGTGAGGGTTTCTTCCTTCACAATCTGCTCAATGTTCTTCTGACACTGGAGCCCCAATTGAGGATGGTGGTGCTGATTATGATGGTCTGGCGGCCTTGTCGAAGGTGAAGTGCTGTTGTTGTGGAAAAGCTGCTGTACCAGCCCAGATGGAGGAGCTGCTGGAGGCCTAACATTATGTTGTTGCTGTTGTTGATGATGATGAGATGATGATGTAGTTGGGAAGAATGGCCTGCCACTGCTTGTTGTTGTGGTTGGAGTTGGATGTTGAGATGATAGAGGACTGTCAATGGCTGCTGGTGTCCTTGAGATGTCTAGCTTGATATCCGAGCTGCTTTCACTTCTGTTGCTGCATGACCCTTCAGTCTCTTTGTTCAGGTTGATTGCTTCATGTGTTGGTCCCCTGCTTTTCAGTGCCATTATCTAACCCCCACAAGAAAAGGAAAAAAAAACCATAAGTTGTCACAATCAAGTCAAAGATGGAGGAGGATGATGCATGAAACATGGCTCAGAAAATGATGAGTGAAGCTTGAAACATGGCTTCAGGGTCAGCAGCCCTTTCTCTATTTTTTTTTTTTTAATAATAGTTGCCATGATGACAGGTAAGTAAAAGAAAGCTTTGTAGAAAGTCATCAATTGCAGGTTCCAAGGAAAGTGATCAGCAATGTTGGATAAAAGTTCTGAAAGTAAAATCATTGCAGAGAGTGGGGAAAAAAAGTAAAAAAAAAAGCTTCAACACTTGGGAAAACAGAACATGACCATTATAAGTGAATGATTGCTGCTAAGTTCCATTACCAGGCCCCCTCTTTAATAACCGTGGCTTCTTCCATGCAAAATTGATCCTAAGAAGACCCAAAAACCAGACCAGCAATTTTACCTCAGCATGAAGCTTCTGGTTGTGGGCTTGAAGGGTATCATTATCAGCTTTGACAGCTTCAAACTGTCTCTTCAGGACATCATAGTCTTTCTCAAGCTGCTTGGTCTTCCACCTGGCTCTCCTGTTCTGGAACCAGATAGCAATCTGCCTAGGCTGCAGCCCAAGAGCTCTAGCCAGCTGCATTTTCCTCTCTGGTTCAAGCTTGTTCCCCAACTCAAAGTTCTTCTCCAATGTCTTCACTTGTTCCATGTTCAGCCTCCTCTTCTTCTCTCCTGCCTGTGATCCATCATCTGATAGCTCATCCAGCTGATCCCCACCATTGTTCCCACCTTCCAATTCATGATCTCCAATCCCTGAACATGACATGGATCTCTTCCCTAGGAATGATGCCATCCCTGAAACATAACAAATCAATCAGCCAAACCCACTTGGGAATTACCATAAAGGAACCTGGAGATCAAAGCTTAAATTACCATGGAAGTCCTGTGGTGTGCAGGAAGGGAGAATTGGGTTGAGAGAAGTTGGAGGCTGGTGATGGTGATCTTCTTCTTCCTCATCATGATGGGTTTGGAGCATGAAGTTTGTTTGGAAGAAAGCCATCCCATTGCAAGTCATGGACTTTCTCTTGCTATGTACAAATTATGCTCCTTGTAGTACTTGGGTTGCTGCCACAAATCTCATAGGCAGTGATCATAGCAGTCTGTTTTTCTTGCTGTGTGAGGAGGTTGAAGAATGATAGCTTGCCCACAAGAAAGGTGGAATATGATGAAAAACTGAAAGAGAAAGGGAGAGAGGGAAATAGAGAAGGAAGTGTATTTTGGGGAGGAAGGGTTGATATAGACAGCTTATATACCTTATCAATTTCCTTGGAGAAGAATTATTATTAACTTCTCTTTCACAGTAGATTTTGTGATGGAAAGAGAGGGGGGTGGATGGATGGATGGAGGCTTTTATTAGAGTGAAGAGGGGAGAGAGAAAGAGGAAGGAGGTGGAAGGGAAGATGATGATTCTGTAGTTATGCTTCTCTATATATGAAGAAGGAATCCTCTTGTTTTCTGTGTGTGGGTTTATTACTGGTTTTCTTTCTAAATATTAAAAAAGAAGCTACCTTTAAAGTAGTAAGTAGACACAGTTAATAAAAATTACCAGTAAATAGTCAGTCAATCAATCAACAGTCAGACTGTGATCCCCTTTTCTCAAGCAAGCAAGGACCTCTTCTGGATTTACTTCTGTCATGAGGATGATGATGAGATTCACCCACTTCCCTTTGATCAGAAGAAGAGGAAGTAAATATTTACATTCCTCCATGGGTGGTCAGCCAGCCCCTGGATTTTCATTGTCAAGAAAGAATAAAGAAATGAGGGGACTGCCAAAGAACTGCTGAAATCATGTTCTCTGCACAAAAAAAAAATGGTGCCAACTTGTTAATACAGAATAATGCTTTGCTTTGCTTCGCTGCCTGCATGGATGGAATGGCGGTGCTGTGTGTCTGTGCCTCTGTGGAATCTGCCATGCAATACAGCAGCAAATGCAAGAAGTTCCACAAATCCCAATGTCATTTTCAGGGAGCATTAATCCCTCCCTCCCCTGCTTTTTAACAGACAAGCTAAACTAATTGCTGTGGTTCTCAAGAAAGGACAGTTGTTCCCCTAACTACACAATACTTTAATTCAATCATGACCCTCTTTTCTTGGTAATTCTGATGATTATTATAATGGGAACTTAATCTGATCAACTGGGTGACTGACTCTCATCAGCTGCCACAGAGGAAGGGGAAACTAATAAAGCAATCATCTCCAAATCATTGCTGACACTAGCTTTGATCCTGATGATGAGAAATAAAGAACAAGAAAGTAAAACCAATAAGGCCAGCCGACTGCTGTGTTCTCTGCATCTAACTTTTATGAAATAGAAGATCATAAGACGAGGCTAGGATGGATTAAGCTTTTAGCTAGCTAGGAGGTTGCTTGCTTGAGAGCAAAGTGACCAAAAAACTCATTTGGCTGCATCCTTCCTTCCTTTTCCCTCCCCTAGAGAGAGAGAGACAGGGCCAATGCAGGGGAGGGAATCTAATGTGGAGAGAGAGAGAGAGAGAGATGGGTCCAATCCAATTGAAGAGGGGGAGGGGGGCAGGGGTTGCTACCTAACCCACCAACAGGTATCATGCATTAGGGCCAGAAGCTCTTTCCCATTCCCCCCAACCCTTCCTTTTTTTTCACTACTCTATGGTACAATTTTGCTATTGAGCTCGCACGACGTATGTGAGAACGTGTTCGTAGCACATTTACGTTGGTTAAATGGAAGCAGATGCTTCATAGTCGTCGAATGAATACGGTAATATTTTTTTGTAATCCATCCAATGATTGCAAAAAGTACTCTCTCATTTCGATGAACACAAAAAAATATTGTAAGAACGTTGTCACATTTCCTTGTAAGTACCATAGCCATGTTGTCTACCATCCAATTTTCCTTCACCTCTCTCTCTCTCTCTCTCTCTCTCTCTCTCTCTCTCTCTCTTGATTTGCGTCAATCTCTGCAATGGAGGTGGGTTTGTGAAAGAGAAAGGGCTTTCAAAAGGCCAAGCAGAAACCCCTGTGAGCTTGTAGCCCTACTGCCCAAGGTGGTGGAGCTGGTCTTTTTTGTCTTTCTGCCCCGACCTCTCTCTCCTTCTGCCACTGCCTCCAAATTTTGCAAATGGCATTCGTCACGTTCTTTTCCCTCTTCTCATCTCCTTCCCTCACTCCCATCAATATTATAATAGCAATATCACATCTTACACAAGTTACTAGCTAGCAAATATCATCAGCAATTTTGCATCCCATCCATGCCCACCACTTCTTCCTCATATCACCACTATGGCAATATACCATGTGCACTTAAGCAAAACGTGACTTCAAGTTAGATGGTATAACATGCTCAACTGAATTCGGAAAGGGTGGTTCAAGCGGTCATGTATGAAGTTTGGTTTTAATGTATTGTATGATTCAATTTACACGGTGTGCCATTCTGAGAAAACATTTATCGGTGGCCACTACCTTCTGGTGTAAAATCGGAAATCACCTGCCTCATATATGTTTGCCGAATATCTTGGGACCTAAGAGAGTCTTAAACATATATGTCAAGATCTCGTCGTAGAAAACACATAGTCCATTGATAAATGGATAACATAGAGTTGTTGCTTGCCTTGTATATTACAACATGGATAGAATTGTATGAATAGTAGAGATACAATATGTGTGGTCTTTTATATATTATATATGATCGATAAATCGGATTCAATTTTTCAAATTGAGCAAAAAATGGACTTGTTAAAACCTCCTTTACAACCTGGTTTGCTTTAAATGATTTTTTGATTTTCAATTAAAATATAAAAAAGAAGAGATAAATAACCAAAATTAAAACCCTTGGCACATACACTCACCGAATAGAATCCATTCGATTTCATTTTCTAGAACCGTTCGCATAGTACTCATCGATCTCGGTTAATCGTAGACATTTGAAAATTCGACTTTCAATTACATCATTACCTGTGATAGGAGCATATTATTAGTTAGCAATTAGCCGGTTGAACCGGATTGTTTGAACAAACCCTAGTGAAGATTGACTTGTCTCTTTGAATCTTGGCATCTTGCTAATGGCATCTATATATGTACGTACAAACAATGATGATATTTTTCTTCTTTCTTCCTTCCTTGTAGCTAGCCCGTGTTCCTTACATTACATTGTCTTCAATTCAATCAATGCACAGCTCCTGTGAAAAGGATTGCTGTTCTCTCATGACAAGTTGCAGCAGTAGCAGCCACCCTCTCGAATGATCATCCTGAGGAGGATTATCTCATCCGAATCAAAACCCTACTTTGCCACTCCCACGTACGTGTGTGTGTAGTTCTGTGTCCTACAACAACATTTTTTTCAATGACAGAATAAGCAGCAAAGGCCCTCTCTCTCTTTCCTCTGCTAGGTCAGATGAAAACATGGGGAAAAAAGAAAACTTCAAAAAGCTCAATCAATGAAGCCTTTGAAATAACAAAAAAAGAACAATCATGGGTGAAGTTATTACCATTTACCCTTATCATCTTTTTTTCAACCCCACAGTAACATGATGATGGCCCTTTATTATTTTTTAAACCTGGCTGTCCCCTTTTCACTCAACTCCACGAGTGAACTTGAAGTAGGGCTTTTGTACAGTTTTCATTGTACACTGAAACTAGCTAGGAAGGAATTGTTTTCTTCTTCTTCTTCTTCTTCTTCTTCTTCTTCTTCTTCTTCTTCTTCTTCTTCTTCTTCTTCTTTCAGATTGACAGAAATGCTCCCCTGTAGCTGTTGAAGCTACAAGGTTTTACTCCCTGAGTGCCTTAATACAGCAACACAAGAGGGAGGAAAACAGAGATGTGATTTCTCAGTGAGGCATTTCATCGAACGGGTAAAACAGAACTGAAGCTCCACAGCACCCACTAGCCAATAATATAGAACCCCGCAAGGGTGACAAGACTCTTTGGACGCACATTATTGATGTATTGGTGTCACTATAGTGGGAATATGGTAGACAATTGAATTGTGTGGCCTTGTACAAAAATGTTCATCAAATCACAGAACGTGAAAGAAAGTACCAAAGGGAAAATCAGAAACATGAATAAGCAGATAAGAAAACACATCAATGCGGTTAACATCAACACTGTTGTTTCTCCATCACCTCTTTTTTTCCCCTTTCTAGCATGCAAAAGTTGGGAGACACATTGGACCCATGAAAAGGAATTTGAAGCATTGGTTTTTTTCAAATGGAGATGGACCCAACAAATAGTTATACATTTTTTTTTGACAAGAAATAGTTATACACAAGGCCGGCCAATAGGGTGTGTTGGGAGATCGTTCGGTACAGGGTCTCCGAAAAGTAGCGGGCATACACCGCAATTTTGTTAGTTTATCTAATTCAATATTGTATAATGATGATGCGATTAAATATGTTAATTGATACTGGTGCTAGTCGGCCGATATTCTCATGTGTATATAAACGAGGCATGTATATTCCTTGTCAAAGTCCTATATTGTGTTCTGAAAGCCCCTATTTGTACTATAAATTACACAATAAATTCTTAATGGATTAATCATAATGATAATTGAAAATGATTTCTCGCAAAATACAAAAAATAAAGAGCTGGTTGATAACTTTATTTCGATTTTTTTTAAAATAATGATGTTATGACTATTTTTATTTTATTATATTTAAAAAATTTATATCATGTCTCAATTTTAGAACAAGACATCTACGATTCATTAGACCGCTGTGGTTATACACAATGCATGCCCACAAATTCTAGTGTGATGTAATGGGGAGTGGGGTTTGGGAGATAGCTTCCTGGCTGACACTCTTTTGCTTGCTGGCTATTCTTCACTAGTCTTCTTGTGAAGTGATTGGAACAACGACTCGAAATTGAAACCCACCAAAATAAAGGGGAGGGGAAAAAAAGACTAGGGGAAATTGAACTTGGTCTTGATTGTGACAATAGTCATGCCAGCACAGTTTTGCATTAATTAATATGATGATAATGATGATACTACATGCTAATTAACAACTAAAAAAATCTGACTTAGTTTTTGCCAAAATTGGGGAATAGCAAAAGATAAGGAAGAAGAGGAATCAGAACATATAATTAGATAATTGTCCTGTAATATAGTTGCAATCTTAATGGTAGAGAAATTTTACGAATGATAAACACGTTATCTAGCTACATCCAATGTCGTAACGATTGTTGTTGGATCACACAACAGTTCTCAATCTATCATCACTAATCGCACTAAAACATTCAAACCCTAATGATCGTTAGGATCGTAAACAAATGGTTGGCCAAATGCATTGCACGACACGAAGGGTTGAGTATGAAAAGTGAATCTGCCTCGTAGCAGAAGACTGTTTAAGAAAACCTCCCCAAAAGAAACAGTTTAAAGTGAATTGGAAAGCAAAAAGGAGAGGTAGAAGATGCAGTGTAGCAGCTCGTCCATGGGGTTTGGTGATTCAAAGAAAGTAGCTGATGCCCGGTCAGTGTGCATGCATGGGAAAAGCTAAAGCTAGCTGCTAGGGTTGTTGCTGAAAGAAAGGTGAATGTGGTTGTTTATAATATATGGGATGGAAAGGATTAATAATTCAATTGGTTTTTCTAACTTTTCTATGGTAGCTAGTGTGTTTTGTGTCAAAAGTGTAGCAGCTTGTGATTGCAAAATCATTAGTAGGTATATCCTTCCTTTTTATATAGAACAAATTCTT